CAGATGCTGTGCTTCTGCCTGGATTCAGGCCTTCACCAGTGGGCAGACTGTGAGCCAGGCCTACCCACCCCAGCTCTAAGTGCCACTGTTAACCGTTCTGTGCTTGGGAGAAGCACCAAGACCCTGCTACCGTGCCAGAGGCTGGTCCAGAAGGCTTGGTTCTGGCACCTGCAAGTTAAGTCACAGCCCAGGCCTCTGTTCTCCCCAACAGCCAGACCTTCCCCTGGGAGCGCCAACGTCTCTGCTGAGGAGGCTTCCTCTCGGAGCTGTGTGCTTCCAGGGCTTCCATATCTCAGGATGCCCTTCCATTGGGACACTGTCCCACTTCAGAGATGTGTGGTTCCTGGGCTCTCCTGTCTCAGGATGCTCTTCTATTGGGATACCTTCTCCCCTGAGAGCTGTGTGGTACCATCTGAGCAGAAAGGTCAACACCTACATTAGCGAGTTGGGTCTTATTTTCTCATTATCTGTCTAAGACTAAGCTATTATCCAGGACTTCTCTTAAACATCACTTAAGCAACACTCAAAACAGAAATTATTGGTGTTGGTGGCTAGGGTTGTTACTTCTTGCAACTCAATAAATAGATTAAATAGGGAGGTAATCTGTAAAATATTCGACAGTAATACAAATAATTAGACACAAAAATCACAAACAAAAAGGAATTATATCTTAAAGACAAGATTCAAAGCTAGCACCACATTCAACAGCGAGAAGCTGAAATCACTCTTTTAACAGTAGGAACAAAGATGCCCTCTCCCTCCACTCCTATTCACTGTGGTATTGGAAGACCCGACTGAAAAAAAGTGGAAAGGGAAAACTAGGAAACAACCCTTATGTCAGTGTGTTGGCATAATGTTCTTGTGGAATGTATACAATTTACCCTTGTTCATTCACATGCTTATTTCTGTACCCAACTATCTGGTTTCAATCTGGATATTACCTTGTGATATGTATTCTAAGCATCATCTGTCTCAAGTTTGGGTAATTGTGTTACCATTTGTTCTCTATATTGCCAATAAAAACAACCAGCCAATGCTGAGCAATGGAGAGAATAGGGTGGGGCATCCTGGTCTAGAGGAGAGAAGAAAGGAGAGGGAGGAGAGCTCCGAGATGAGAAGACCTGGAAACATCAGGAGAAATGGACAGGACCTAAGATATGACTAAAAAGCAAGTATAATGTGGGAAATATGAATGGGAGGAAGCTATGCAGGCTAGGAGGTTTAGGATGGAGTAATTATTGCCTAGCATTGTGCTCTAGTTTAATTAAATAAATCTTAGTTTCTGTGTGGTGATTTGGTTATACAGCTGGTTTAGGAATAACTACTGTTTAACTAAAAGATAAATCAATATTAAATATTAATAATTATCAACATCAGTGGACGAAAAGACCATTAAAGTTTAATACCTTTCTGGGTCTGGGTTACCTCACTTAGGATGACCTTTACTACTTCCATCCTTTTGCCTGCAAATTTCATTATTTCTTTGTTTTAATAGCTGAGTGGTATTCCATTGTGTAAATGTGCCACAGATTCTTTATCCATTCTTTGCTTGAGGGACATCTAGGTTGTTTGCAGATTCTAGCTGTTATGAATAAAGCTGCTATGAACATAGTTGAGCAAGTGTCCTTGTAAGGCAGAGAAACTTTTGGGTGTATACCCAGGAGTGGAATAGCTGGGTCTTGAGGTAAAGTTATTCTCAATTTTCTGAGGAAGTGCCAGATTAATTTCCAAAGTGGTTGTATATGTTTACACTATCACCAGTAATGAAGGAGTGTTCCCCTTTTCCCACACCCTCCCCAGCATGTGCTGTTGCTTGAGATTTTGATCTTAGCCAATCTGACTGGTATGAGATGGAATCTCAGAGTTGTTTTGATTTGCATTTTCCTGCTGTCTAAGAAAGTTGAGCATTTCTTTAAGTGCTTCTTGGCCACTCGAGATTCCTATGTTGAGAATTCTGTTTAGTACTGTGCCATTTTTAATTGGGTTATTTTGTTTATTGGTGTTTGATTTCTTGGATTCATCATATATTTTTTATGTTAGCCCTTTGTCCAACACAGGATTGGAAAAAAAGATCTTTTCCCAATCTGTAGACTGTCTTTTCTTTCTATTGACGGTGTCCTTTGCCTTTCAGAAACTTTTCAGTTTCAAGAGGTCCCATATATTAACTGTGATCTTAGAGCCCAAGCTGTTCTGTTCAGGAAGTTGTCTCCTGTGCCAATGAGGTTCTTCCCTACTTTCTCTTCTAATAGATTTAGTGTATCTGATGTTTTAGTGAGATCCAATGATCTCACTTGAATTTTATCCACTTGAATTTGAGTTTTGTGCAGGGAGATAAATATGGATCTATTTTCATTTTTCTAGACATCCAAATAGACCTGCACTATTTATTGAAAATGCTACCTTTTTTCCCATTGTGTGGTTTTGGCTCCTTAGTCAATACTTTGCCATAGGTTTGTGGATTTATTTTTGAGTCTTCAATTTTATTCCATTGATCAACCAGTCTATTTTTATGGCAGTACCATGCCATTTTTATTACTATTGCTCTGTCGTATAACTTGAAGTCAGGGATAGAGATAACTCCAGAAGTTCTTTTATTGTATAGGATTATTTTAATTATTCTGATTTTTTCATATGAAGTTTAGAATTGTTCTTTCAAGGTCTGTAAAGAATTGTGTTGGTATTTTGATGGGGATTGCATTGAATCTGTAGCTTGCCTTTGCTAAGATGGCCATTTTTACTGTTGATCCTACTGACCCATGAGCATGGGACATCTTTCCATCTTCTGCTATCTTCTTCAATTTCTTTCTTCAGAGACTTGAAGTTCTTGTCATACAGGTCTTTCTGCTTGGTTGGAGTTATACCAAGATACTTTATATTATTTGTGGCTATTGTGAAAGGTTTAGTTTCCCTAAGTTCTATCTCAGCCCATTTATCATTGGTGTACACGAGGTCTACTGAATTTTTTTAAGTTAATCTTGTATCCCACCATTTTGCTGAAGCTATTTATCAGCTGTAGGAGTTCTCTGGTGGAAATTTTTTGTTCACTTATGTACACTATTATACCATCTGCAAATAGCAATACTTTGTTTTCTTCCTACCTGATTTGTAAGCCCTTGATCTTCTTTGGGGAACAAGGTAGGAGAGGGAGTTCAGAGAGTTAAGAAGGTAGAGATCAGACCTGAGGAGAGCAAGGTGAGAGGACAGAAGCCCTGTAGAGAAAAGAGAACCTAAGGATTGGGACATGTCTGTGACAAGCTGGAGACCTAAGTCAGGGTAGGCTCCCAGTAGGATAGTTTGAGGATTAAAACAGAGACGCCTAGTATCGAGACCATCCATAGATATTGAAAAGGAAATCCTCTAACTAGCCTTCTATTAAAGGACAAGGAACACCAACCCACTCACAACAAATCTGACCCAAAATTTACTCTGCCTTCCAAGATTTGCAAGGATAAAGATACAGCAGATAGAGCAGAGATTGAGGGAATGCCCAACCAAAGACTCACCTGGCCCAACCAAAGACTCACCCTGTCAAAGAGTGCCAACCCTTGACACTCTGAACTTATACTCTGCTAAGCTTCAGACAGGAGCCTGTCAGAGTTGTCCTCTGAGAGGCTCTGCCCATCAGTACCTCAAAACAGATGCTGAGGCTCACAGCCAAATGTTGGTCGATGCCTTGGGGAATAGTGGGAAGAAAGACAAAAGGACTCAGAAGTGACAGGAGCTCCACAAGAAAAACAACAGAGCCAACTAACCAGGACCCAGAGGCGCTTGCTGAAGCATCAACTAAGAACCATGCATGAACTGGACCTAGGACCAATATGTATCAGATGGGAAGTGTAGGCTTCCTCTAATAAGGGTCCTCTAATAAGGAAAGTGGGGCACTGACACAATTGCTAGATTTTGATCACTTTCCCCTGGTGGGACTGCCTTGACAGACCACAGGGGAAGAGGACACTTTTAATCCTGATGCAACTTAATCAGCTGAGGTGGATTGAAAAGGAACTCCCTTTATCTGAGGAAAAGGAGAGGGGTAGGGAGAGAAGGTGGGACTAGGAGGAGAAGAGGGAAGGGGCTACAAGGATGTAAAGTGAATAAAATAAATAAATGAGAAAAAAATTAAAAACTTTGATATCTATCTATATGCGTATTAGACATACTGAAGCATTCATCTATCCTAAAAATAACATCCTTTAGTTTGCAACAATTGATGGATGTAGAAGGTATTTGTCTATGGGAAACAACTTAAAGAATACTTACTAATGTAGAATCTCACTTATAAATAATGTCTGAAACAGTAAGTCTCAGGAATTAGAGCAAAGAATATTTGATTGCAAAGGGCTGGGTGCTGGGATCTCTGACATGTTGATTTCTGCCTGCCCAATAAAATATAAGTAAATAGTGATGATCCAAGGTACAATAGAATGATATAGTTAACACTGTCCTGTGTATCTGAGTTCTCTTTAAAAGATCACAAGTGTTTTTAACACACACATGCACACACACACACACACACACACAAAATGGCAACTATGTTAAATAATGATGGGTGCTGATAACTTGCTTTGAATGGTTATTTCACTATATATATATATATTTCAAGCCAGACACTATAGTTTAAATACATAAATTTTATTACTTAATTTCCTGTCAGTACAGCTAAATGCAAATTAAGAAAGAGAAAAAAACAGATAAAATTAGAGAACATACCATACAATTGTATAAGTCAATAAAACCTTGAGGAGTTGGCAGCAAAACCACACATGTACACAAAAAAGGTCCCTGTGTAGTACCTGAAATGAGGAAAGTTCTAAGCAAAAGGGCATTTTATGAAGAAGTAAGTGAAAGACTATACAAGTTATTTGTGGGCCAGTGTTTTCATAAGCATTACCATTTACTGCATACTTAAATTCTGTGGAAACCTCTTCCACATGAAGGAATTTCTAGGTGTCTGTATAATGCTGGATAACAATTCAATCCCAAGTCCATGGAGAATGTATGAGTCAAAAGTATATTTTCTTCATCTTACAAACTGACTTCTGTTTATAACTGCAAGGGAGGTCATTCCAGCCCCATACAGGTGTCCAGTAAACTAGGGTAACACATTGCTCTTCCTCATTGTTGGGCTCACCTTTGTGCCAGAATCTGAAAGGGAGGAAAGAGCATCAGGGTGTTTCCTGCAATAATGCTTGAAAAGAGAAAGCAAGAGCAAGCAAGCCTGAGCATGAGGGTGGAATTTGGGGAAATCAGATTGAAGTATGTACAAATCAAGCTTTCTCCATCACACGTATCTGACATTTCCCTTGATAACAGGCCTAAATTACTCAATGCAATATCAGTGTGATGCTTAAATTAACTGTTCTCTCAGCACACACCCCAGGAGACTGTTAATCCGTGGTGATATGCTGAAAAGGTCTCTCCTTATTCCCGTGTATTAATATAGTATCCTTCCATTTTACAAAAGAACTGTATTAGAGGCTGCAGAACTAGGTGAACTCTCTAGATAATCTACATATTTCTACCATCAAGAACAAATATTTTAAAATCCCGGATTCCTAGTTTCTTCTCTGAAAATTGAGAACAATAACCTCATATATATTTTTTTTTCAAAACAAATATCAGGATAGAATATGAGAACATACTGAAACATTAGAGTTTTTAAATAATTATAGAAATATAAAACACAACAATATGAGAGTTGGGGGCTTTTAATATGTGAGAAATAATCATTTATGATCTGGACATCAATTTTGATTATAAATATATAAGTGAAGGCTGGAGAGGTGGCTCAGACATTAAGAGTGCTTGCTGCTCTCTCAGAGAATGTGAGAGCTCTGCTCCCAACACTCGTATTGGTGAGGTCCTATCACCTGCAACCCCAGCTTCAGGGGAGCCAACACCTGCTTCTCAGCTCAATGGACACGCACATACACATGGCAGACACTCACATACACACACACACGTATACACAAATAAAAATAAATTAAATCCTATTTTAAAGGGATAGGTGAGAGGCTGAAAGCATGATAAAATACATCTATGTATATGGACATTCGCTGGATGCTCAGGCTACTTATCATTCCACACTCTACAAACTCAACTCCCTCATCTCTACTGGGAGAATTAACAATGTCTGTCACACAGGACTCTTGTGATGAGTAAATGGGGAGTAAAAGTAACTCCATCCCCAGAAGTTACACCAGGAGTGAGCTATTCTAGTTCTATAACCGAAGCTGGAACACCCTCAGTTCTCCTCATGTACAGGTCCCAGGACTCCTCTAAGCGACTCTAGACTCACGTGGCACTCTCATTGTATGGTGTCCCATCAACCCATCGCCACTGTCGATGACCTGGATCCCGCAGCCCTATAAAATAACCAGCATCAGTGGCCAGGATCCTGGTGATGAAATTCTAGAAGGAAAGAAAGATTCAGCTTTCAGTCTGGATTGAAGGCTTCTTTTTCTGTTAAAGGATTTTCATAAGATCTTTTAAAAATTATTTTTTATTAAAATATTATTTTTATATTAATTACAGTTTATTCACTTTGTATCCCAGCTGTTGCCCCCTCTCTCATTCTTTCCCAATCCCACCTTCCCTTCCTCATCTCCTCTCATGCCCCTCTCCAAGTCCACTGATAGGGGAAGTCCTCCTCCGTTCCATCTGACCCTAGCCTATCAGGTCTCATCAGGATTGGCTGCATTGTCTTCTTCTGTGGCTGGAAGGCTGCTCTCCCATCAGGGAGAGATGATCAAAGAGGCAGCCACTGAGTTCATGTCAGAGACAGCCCCTGTTCTTATTACTGGGGAACCCTCTTGGAGAGTGACCTGCCATGGACTACATCTGTGCAGGGTTCTAGGTTATCTCCATGCATGGTCCTTGGTTGGAGTATCAGTCTCAGAAAAGACCCTTGTGATGCACCTATGCAAATACATAAAAATCAAATCCTAGTTTATATCCGTAGGCCCTTAAATATTTTTCAAATTTTAAATAGAAAAGACACCCCCCCCTCATCCCCTGGAGTACCCATTTTCTCTGGCTGATCAGGACACAGGCAAACTCATCACTCATATTTTCATGAAACTGGAAACAACCTCTGACCATCCATAATAAATTCTCATCTCAGACTCACTCCCCACTTTTCTTTACCAATACCATTTTTGAAAGTTGTGCATGAGAGAATTTTCCACATTTAGTCATTCTCCATTCATAACTTCAGATATTTCATTTCTGGTGGTTGGTTGTGATTCTCTCAATCTTATCCTGTTTCTCTAAAACCTCCTCTGTTTTAGGGAGGAAGCATTTGACTATAGAAAGCCTTAGAATGCTGGAATCTCAAACTGCTCTTTCAAGAAGAAACATTCTATCCTACCCTCCACCTTGTGTGTTGTGTTCCTGGTGCCATGTTTCTTTGGGGGGTTTTTTAGGTCTACTGAAGGGGAAGCAGGTGTAGAAGGCAGAGAGCAATCTTTCCTGTATATCTGGTGTAACACTTTCTGCCACAGCACCAACACCCACATCAACACAACTCCCTCTTAGGAAAAAGAGGCAGAGATCAGGCCGAGCCCAGGCCCCACTCTCTCCCAGGGTGCACCTGTTCTTCCGGGCCGTGGATCACCAGCAGATGAGCGCCCATGCTGGAGCAGTTCTCTTCACTCTCGTTCCAAAATGTTATGTCAGTGGAAATGAAGTAGCAGTTAGAACCAAATGGCGTCCAGTTCATTGGGCAGCAGCTCCAGACTTTGTCTTTGGGGGAAGAAGGAAATGGAAGTGCTAGGTAATAAAGTCGTTTGAAAGGCTGCCTGAGTGTAGAGCCCACGTGGAAGCTGGGACCCTCGACGTCTCCAGATACAGCAAGGAGCTCCTCACCCCTCATGTACCGAGCAACTCAAGTCTATCTCCACCGATACTAATGTCAGGGCCTGTTTGTCCTTCTGTGGTGCTACCACACAACAAAACAGAAAAACCGAGTGTAAAGGACATCCAGACTCGTAGAACATAATACAAAACAGTTTGGGTATATAAAGAATAGAACATGTGACACCAATAGCCAGAAAATGTCGTAATGTATATGTAGTATGTAAACAATCATGTCACTAATCATGGCAGCAATATTCTGACAGAGATGTTAAAATTAGCCCTGATAAAAATACTTCACAATAACCAGGCACCATGGCACACCCCTGAAATCACAGCATTCTGGGAAGCAGAGGCAGGCAGATCTCTGTGAGCTCAAGGCTAGCCTGGTCTACCAAGTGAGTTGAGGACAACCAAAGCTACACAGAGAAACCCTGTCTCAAAAAAACCAAAAACAAAAACAACAACAACAAAAAAAACTTCACAAAAATATTGCAAAGGTTCTAGAAATAGATCTAAATTAGAGTGCCTCATGAAAGTAGAAAAAAAAAGAGTAAATAAAATCTAATAGAGTGTTTTTTAAATGAAGTGGTTATAGTAGAGTAGAGGTGACAGAAAATTCAGTTAATTGGAGAAACAAACCAATAGAAGCTGAACTAAATAACAGAGGCAAAACAGAAACAAGTGAATGAATATTAAATAAATAAAATAATACAGTCTCCCCTCATAATTTTAATGTGCCTATACCAAATAAGAGAGAAATGAAATATATGAAATAAAACAAAGAATTGAGAAACACATCGTAGCAAATATGCATACATTCATACGCTCGTAATCCTAAGTGTTTGTTCAGAAACGAGGACTATCAAAGAGATGAGCAAACAGCTAACAGTGGATGAGATGAAGGATGAATGTCCAAAGCATCAGTGTTAAGCGGTGGACTGAGATTTACACTTGCCGGGGTGAACACAAACAAGGCTCAGACAACAGAGAGTGTTGTACACCATTACAAAGAACGTGGGCAAATACACACAAACACACTGTTCTGTCTCTTGAGAAACCTAACCCACTATTCCACCACAGTGTGAGCTACGTCTGGCGGCATCCTTCCAAAATGATACTGTGGAAAATGGAGAAAATATGTTTTTAATTTTTTACATATAATTATAATGTAATAATATAATTTTTGTACCTTTTCTTCTTACCAATCCCCTGCAATGTTCCCTCCTACCTTCCAAACTCATGGCTTAATTTTATTGTTTTCAGAACTATAGGCAATTATTAACTGCTGAGAGAAGGAGAATGAATCTTCAGGGATGAGCCCCCACATTGGTTACCCAATACCAAGATAAAAGATGATTATATGACAAGGTGCCGGTTTGAGGGTTTGTGTGTGTTGGATGGGTGTTTTCTTCCTTTGGTTTCTATTGCCTCTCTGGTCTTCTGGTCAGTGTCCTGTGATTGAGCAGAGGGTCTCCGCCTGAGTTGACAGCTGAACCTCTGGCAGCGGGCATGGCCTCTTTTGAGCATGGCGTGTCCATTAGAGCCGAGGGCTGGACAGAGTGGTGAAGAGGGGAGTGGTGTGGAGGGTAGTGTCTGGGGTGCACTAAGAGAGTGGAGGAGGTCCAGGGCCTGTGGTCTATCTGACGTTCCGGCGGACGATGTGTCCACTGGTCCAGCAGTGAGTCTCAGCCTGCGTGTGTCTACTCTTCTTCAGGCTGGTGTGGCCTGCAGGTCAGCAGGGGAGAGTCTCTGGGGTTGGGGACAGGCATGGTGGAGAATTGTGTCACTGAGAGTGTTCCATGGGCAAGCTGCCTATCTGTTTTTCTGGCGGGCATGGCCTACGCTTGCGTAGCGGATGTTCACCTAAGTTGGCGACGTTTCTGATAGATTCTGAGGTGGCCTGTCCTGGGAGGTGGGGTCCACGTGTACATTTCCATCAGACCAGAATATCTGGTGTGTATGCCTCCATTTGTCTCCACACGTCTTGTTTGTGAAAAGGGTTCTATTATTCTAATAATTCTCTAGCTTCTACTTTTTTCTGAACATCTCCGCACAGTTGCTGTTTCTCAGCTCACTTTATATATTGTATATAAAGAGGAAATAAATAAATCCCTTAAGGAAATTGAGAAAAAGAGAAGCAGAACACACACACACACACCACACACACATATACACCACACAAACACACACCACACACATCACCCATACACACACACACCCTGACACACATGTACCACACACACAACACACATACACACATGTACACACACTACACACCTGACTCCATAGTGCCTACACTGACGCAGCTGATCCTGGAAAGATTTCTATGACGTTCAGACAGTCTTCTATTGGGGTTGTCCACGGTCAGCTGGTAAGTCACTGTGAAGAAAGAAGGGAATGAGCACCCCTACACCCTGGAGCTTCATGTCCTCTACGTGGGCCAGGACAGTGCACTTCCTCTCCACCTCCCCCACTTCTCCAGGCAAACGCACTGAAGCCCAGACCAAAGTATTGCTCCCCTGTATTCACTTACATCACTCATGTCTACAGCTCTCATTTGCCACCCCCCACACACACGCACACACTTTATTTTCTGGGACAAACATCAATTAATCAAAAACCCCCGTATCAGCACACTGCCACAAGTTCTTCACTGTGACCTGTTGATTCACCAGGGTCCGGCTTCCTTTATTTGAACAACTTCTTAGCAAGAATAATGGCTATGTTACCATATCCTAACCATTCCTGATTGCAGGTAGGAGTTCTTTAAATATCTGGAGACTTTTAAGTGAGATGGATATGATCAAGATACATTGTGTGTAAGTATGCAAGTTTCAAAGAATAAACAAAAATGATTTTTAAGTTATCATTTTGTTCATGAGTGTGCATATTAAACAATGTTAACAAACACAGACTTTCTGCACTATTTTAAAGGAATGGTTCAACCTTTCCAGTTCCTCTTTTATGACTTAAACTTCTGTTTCTTCCATATCCTTAACTACCCTACCCTGCCCTCTTAGGCCTGGCTGTGCCAATTAGAGCAGATCCTGCTTCAGTGAGAATGATGTCTCATGGCAGATGTGAGGCACTTGGCATAAGTCACTCCCACTCCCTCCTGGACTGTGCAGTGACTACTGTGACCATCTCCACAGCAAATAGAGAAGCAGACTGTAGACCGCAAAGGACATCATCAAATCTTCTCGCACAATAGTCTTCAGATATGGCTTTGTGGGCAGATGAAACAGGGCAGGAATGTTTTATCTTCTCAGTCTTCACTATTTAATTTGGTTACATTTTACTCTCGTATTGAGAAAAAACAATCCCAAATGAATCAAAGCCTGTAAGCTGCTGACATTATGAAATGCTGGAGATGAACTCAGAGTGGAGAGAAGCTGTGACCAGAGAATGTGATTGTTAGTGAGCCCAAGGCTGGAAGACACTGGTACAGACAATGGTTATAAATGGCAGGTACTAACAAAGCTAAGTGAAGGAACCTTAGAAATCTCAGCGGTCAAAAGACAAACAAAAAGTAATTAGGAAGAGAAGTTAAGGAAAACATGGTATTGCATGTAAGATTTGACATTCAAACAAACAAACAAACAAACAACAACAAAATAGAGCCCAGCACTTGGGAGGCAGAAGCAGGCTGATCTCTGAGGTTGAAGTTAGCCTGGTCCACGAGGTAGTACCAGGACAGCCAGGACTACACAGAGAAACAAAAACCAAACCAAACAAAGCATCTCCCGGGAGTCTCTGTGGAACTGACAAAAGAGTTCCCAGAAGAGACACCAGTCAGTGAAGACCTTACCCACACAGCTCGCGATGAAACAGGTGCTCAGGAGGAGAATGGAAACCACAGCAACTGACCAGAGTCTCAGGGTCCAGTAGACTCCCTTTCCTGTGAGAGAGCAAGAAGGGATACTCACCACAAGACCAAAAAAATCAGAGCAATGACTAACCAGAGAAAATGCTCAGAGTAATTATAAATTTAAAGGAGGGAAAAGCTATAAGAACCCTAGAATAAAGGACCAAATCAGCTATGAAGCCAACACACACATACAAAGAGAGACATCACACACACATCACACTAATGCACATAAAACAAACACAACACACACAAACCAAACACAACACTACACACACAATGTAGAAAAGTCTCTCCCAGGCACCTGCAGTTTCCATGTCCTTACACTTGCTTTGTAATAACCACATTCTTACACTGACGTCCTAACCTTTTAAAATTTCCTTTCAGTATTTGGTTTCATGTTTTTTTCAAGGGCTTCTGGCTCTGAGATATCACACTTACTTCAAATTCCCGTAGGTGTGCTGTCTGGCTCTCTTCTATGCCCTCAGCCTGCCCACTTCTCTGTGTCTTTACCCCAGGCAACTCCTCCTCACACCACACATGTCCACTGTCTCCTCCTAAGTGAGACAGGGTGGCTCACCTCACCTCGACGCTGTCTTTCCTGAACCATTATTTAGGTTTATTTTCAGAGGGTCACAGTCTTCTTGAATCTGTCTCTCCGTGATATGAATCAGGGACCTGATTCTTTCCAACGGGCCAGAGCTCTGATCAACCTCTACACATTCTCAGCTAAATGCCCCAGAGATGGACAACGCTGCACACAGAAAAGCTACTGTGGGAACAGATGTCTGGTGATTAAAGGCACTGGAAGAACTCTTAAAAGTCTTTTAAAGAAACAGGAAATTGAGAAACACACCTAAAATGGTTCCTGAAAACTCTGACAAGAATATTCTTATCACTTGCTCAGTTCCTGATGTGGAAATTTCTTCCACCTCAAAATAAATTTATCTATAAGCCTTTTTAAAACTAAGTGTTCCTTACAAAGCTTTATGCGGGTTATTTAGGTTTTTATAAGTCCTCATTCTTATATTGAACAGGGTTCTGGGAAACAGTAAAAAGTCTGATTGGATGGCTAGAAGTTAGTTGTTATGAATTAAGGTAGTAAATAATTAGAAGTTCCTGGAAGGCCGGGAGACGGTAAAGCCGTTGGTGGGCTGGCAAGCCTGAGGACCTGAGACTGATGCCCAGAACCTACCTAGAAATGTCATGTGTGATGATCCAGTGATGGGGAAGCAGAGACAAGTGCATCGTGGGAGCTTCTTGTCTATCCAGTGCAGATAATTGATGTTTGCAATCCATCAGAAACCGTGCCTCAAAGAAAGTGGATCGTATTCCTGAGATTTTTTCCCCAAGGTTGTCCTTGAATGGGAAAAAAGGGGGGAGGATAAAAGAAAAACATGACTGTGCCTAAGGGTTTGAAGTCTTTATTACAGATATCAGGGAGAGCACAGCCAGAGACATCTGGAATGATTCAGAGTGAACCAGGCCTTGCTCAGAGAATGGGAACCAGAGGCAAAGAGGCCAGGAGTCAGCCAAGAGGCCAGGAGACCAAAAGCACCGTGTGTCCAAAGTGGCTGGGTTAAAACTGGAAAAGAAGCTGGGGAAGGAGCCAAACCCAGATTCTGGACTGGAGAGTTTAGAGTAGGGAGTGGGATATGCCTGCCAGGATGTCTCTGTAAAGGTACTGGCAGTGCTGAGAGAGGCTGGAGAATAGCATCTGCTTTGATATATTAACAGGCACCTGAGTTAGCTCTTTGCTCCTGGTTGGAGTCCTAAGTCCTCAACCCTTCATAGATACATGCACATACAACCATATATACAAACATACGTACATTTTAAAAACAAGGCATATGAGCATTTTTCAGAAGTAGTATTGTTAAGTGGAAGGGGTATTGTGATGTGTATTTTTCTGTGTTATGGCTCTTTTGAATGTGAGGAAAGTGGTATTTTAATTACGATTATTGGGACTATTCCTTTACAGTACCAATTCTAATTTGGACTCCCTCTTGTCACACAAGCTGTAACACAAATAATGGATCAATCATCTTTTTATGAAATTTTTATTTTTATATATTAATAACAGTTTATTCATTTTGTATCTCAGCTGTAGCTCCCTCCCTCATTCCCTCCTCATCCCACCCTCCCTCCCTCTTCTCCTCCCATGCCCCTCTCCAAGTCCACTGATAAGGGAGGTCCTCCTCCCCTTCCCTCTAACTCTAGCTTATCAGGTCTCATCAGGACTCGTTGCATTGTCTTCCTCTGTGGCCTGGCAAGGCTGCTCCTCCTTCATGGGAAGTGGTCAAAGAGCCAGCCACTGAGTTCATGTCAGAGACAGTCCCTGTTCCCCTTATTAGGGAACCCACTTGGAGACTGAGCTGCCATGGGCTACATCTGAGCAGAGGTTCTAGGTAATATCATGAATGGTCCTTGGTTAGAGTATCAGTCTCAGAAAAGACCCCTGTGCCCAATATTTTGGTTCTGTTGCTCTCCTTGTGGAACTCCTGTCCTCTCCAGGTCTTGCAATCATCTTGACAACACAGTGGCAACCACATTGAGGACTGTATAGGTCAATACGCAAATGAGACTGATGGGACCTGGGCCTTTTAGATATGACATTTCCTTAGGCTACAGTGACCAGTGTATTAGGTCACCATGTGTGACTCAACTCCTGACCTTACAACTGCCTCTCAACTATAGGTGTGGAAACTCTGGAAACTTTTCCATTGCCATCATGCGATGGACTGACTCTGTAACTATCCATAGGATTTCACTCACAAATGCATGGTTCGCTCATTACTAATGCTGTGTGCTCAGCTAATTTTCTTTTGCCTATTTTTGCTTATATATCCATCCATTCCTTTCCCTTACTTTTTTGTGTTCTGCCTTTGTTCTCCTTGAAACAAAGAGATTGATTTATGAATGGTTTTCACATGGAGTCTGGCTTGTCATTTGATTGGAGAGTAAAGAGCCTGCTCCTGTGGCAGGAGTTATAATCACAGAGCTTGAAATTGTAGCCTTGTACCAAGGAAACATACTGATCTTTTTGGTCCAATATAACAAAAATCTGACTTACATTGGGGTAAAGGTTGGTTTAGTAACATTTTCTGAGTTCTTTCATTGGATTCATGGAAGTGAAAATGGTATGATAGGAGAGCCAAGCTTCATGAAGTCTGTATCACTCCCTTCTCACACAAATTCTCTGGAGCCTTCCTTCAATTATCACCACCAGCCCCACCACATTCATAAGGAGGTAGTCTCCAACAGGATACATGTGATATTGGGATACAGAACATATGTGTGTGTGTGTGTGTGTGTGTGTGTGTGTGTGTGTGTGTGTGTGTGTATGGCCCTATCCTTGGTTCTTAGCAAAAAAAAAAAAAAACTTATAAAAGTTTTTTGATGATAGGACATATTCTCTGGCAATTTTGTGGGGAATTCCAAAAATAATTACAGAGCAATAAATGTGAAAGGAACAGCTTTTCTCATATATAACAGTACCATTTCACAAGGCCTTACTTTGCACTAGTGAGATGAGTCTTGCCAGTTCCTGCTATTGTTTCAAAATGGGACCAACCGTGTGATGTGTGATCAGACAGTTGGACCTCTCACTCCCACCCCTTCAGAATGGGAAAAGAGCTGAAGACTGAGTTCAGTCACCAGGAACCAATTACAGACCTGCAGAGAGAGAGCTCACACTAGATTAAACTCAATGAAGCTTTTCAGGTAACACATTAGGGGTAGCTGTAGATAATGGTGGGGTAAATATAGTAATTTTTTCCCCATGGTTGTTTGAGATAAGGGGAGAAGGAAGAAGTGGTTATTACTGCCAATACATCACTAACTATTTCAAGTTACCATTTTGGATGAAGAAGCACAAACCACAGTGTTGAGCTGACTGACTGTCCAGGAAGAGAAAACATCCCCTTTTCTCAGCTGTGCAGAGACAAGCTGCTCTGCCTCCTGACCCATCTCCAGCATGTGCTCCCCTAACTGATTTCTCTCTGGACCACTAACACCCTGCACTCTAGTCTCTGCTCCCTTACCTTCCAGATTATGCTGAAATGATAGAACAAAGTCCAACTGAAGAATGTCCTTCAGTAAAATATAACATTAAACAACAAGAAAGTAAGTTGGTAGGGAAAATGGAAACTCACAGCAGGAACAAAATTGTGGCTGAACTCAAATCAGATGTGAAGACAAGTGTAAAATATCTGCATCTATGCAGAAAAATGCAAAAACTCACTCTGTAGAATATAATAACCACTAAGCATTAAACTAGAAGTGTGTGGAATACTTGGAGGCACAGGCAAAGGGAACATAATTTTGTTTTTTCTGAATTTTTCAATATTTTTAAAATATCTTCATATTGAACCTATATAATTAGAAATCAGTTATATGCTATGCCTGGGACTTTGATTAGTTCCTGAGATAACACCAGAATTCTAGAAATTGCCAAAGAGAAAAGACTAGGAAGATAGAGTATCTGATAACGGCTTACGAATTAAGTCACATTGCTAACGCCTCGAGTCCTCAATTCAGGACACCTTCCCCTGGGCTGTGACACCAGATTTGTCCTGCCACCTGTTCTTCATATGAGGACTGGTCTAGAAAAGGCTCCATATTGCCAACAGTAGAACTGTTTCACTGTGTGACTTAGATTGGTTGTTTTTAATCCTTATCAAAGGATTGAAGCATTGCAGCTAAAGTGTTGGAAGGTTGAAAGCAATGAAAATAAACCACAATTAAGCTCCTGTGGAGCAGAAATTCATTTCAGATCCCAGTGAAAGCTTTAACCTAATTCACTGATTTTTTTCATAAATACAGTATGAAATTTTGCATATAATACAGAAATTATAACTGCTGACTCCTGGATAGGATGATAAATTAGAAGTCTCAAATGAACTTAATAAGCCAGGTGAGATCTCTGACTAGAAGACGGTGGCTGCCCAGACATACCAGTTTCTGCAGAGAGAGCAGTGAAGAGCGAAAATGGGGCTCTGTGCATTACTCACACAGGCCGGAAGGGTGAGTCAACTGAACACCAAGGACTCTATGTGGAACTGGGAGTGACCCGGAGAACTGAAGAAGTTCCAGCAGTGCACAGGGTTTGCTGGAGTCTGAGGTTACCACCAGCCAATGACTTACAACCTCCGCTTCCACAAATGTGGCAGCCACAGGCCCCCGCGTGCACTTACCACACACTGTACTGAGAGGAGCCAGAGAGAGCCTGAGGGTGGACCTGAGCCGCAGGCCTCTCACCTCAGTGAGGCTGTGCCAGAATATCACTCCAGAAGGAACCTCTACACTCCGCCAGGACAGCACGCGCCCCAAACCAGTTTAAAATTCAGTTTAAACTTGAATTGCAAATGTACTGTCCACATCAGAATCACAGGAATGGAAAGAGTCAAAGCCCATCCCGCAAAGGAAGATGTACTGACTGATGTTTTAATCTGCTGTACTTCTGTCATATTTTGTCTCTTTGCTGGTTTGGTTTGGTTCATTTGTTCATTTTGACATTTTTGGTATTTTTTCTGTTTGATCACCTCCACTCCTGCATATATATATGATTATATAAATGCTCTTGCTTTAATGTAGTATATACATTACTTG